CTCACCTTCGAACATTGAGGTCAAAAGTCGAAAAATTTCAGCTTTAACAAGCTGAATCTAGCAAAAATACTGCGAAAATGCGGCAGGAATCAGCTGATCGAGAGCAATTATCGATCGGTAAGAGTCCAGAGCGGAAGAGTGGGTAGACGGTGCGGCGGCGTGTGTTAGAGCGCAGAGTGCAGAGTAAGAGACGGAGAGGCAATGATGATAATCTCCTGAAAGTTTTCGGCTTCCCATCGACACGCAATCACCGGAACGCTCGCCAGCGTGGTCGTAGGGAACGCCCCACCGTCCGGTGAGCGCTCAACTGTAGTTTGGGTGTGCGTGACTATCAGCCCCCAGCTGTCGAAGCGTAGCGGTTTCCCCGTCCTAACATGCGCAGGAATGGAGATACAGGACCGTGAAACACGCTAATTCCTCCATGCTCCGCCCAATACCTTTTTGCGGCGCTCCCGTTCATGCTAACATCCGTCGTGTGCGCGCGTGTCGCGTGCGGCTCTCTTGGCACTTTGCCAAGTCCTGTAATTGCGCTTTGGAATACAAGCAAAACGCAATTTCCTGATGCGAATAACATTTGAGGTGTTGCTCATGCTTCAAAGTCCGAATAGAAGGTGATGAAGATGACAAAGGCTAGAAATGAAGAACAACGAATGTAGATGTAAATAAAACAAAAATGAAAAAATTAAGGAAATGCAAATTAATTAAAATCGCGTGTAAATTTCTGCGATCCGGCGCGAATCCGGCTCCAAAGCCATAGAAATACTTTAAACTAACGAGTGGGACGCTTAGGCCGTTTTTATTTTCATGTTTTGTGGGAATGCGCGGCCTCCGAGGGATATTGCAGAAGCAGCACAGTTGCTCTTGAGTTCTGGCCCTCGTCATCATCTTCGGTTCTTATTTTGCAGCACCTCAAATGTTATCCGCATCAGAAAATTTACTACTTACTTGTATCCTAAAGTGCAGTTATGCAGTTATAGGACTTGGTAAAGTGCCAAGAGAGCCGCACGCGACACGCGCGCACACGACAGGATGTTAGCATGAACGGGAGTCTGCGCCGCAAAAGGTATTGGGCGGAGCATGGAGGAATTAGCGTGTTTCACGGTCCTGTATCTCCATTCCTGCGCATGTTAGGACGGGGAAACCGCTACGCTTCGACAGCTGGGGGGCTGATAGTCACACACACCCAAACTATGTGTGATCGTACCATGTGTCTTTAAACTGTGTACAAATAATGTTGACACTCACACACGAGTGATGCCACGAACATTTTCTGTACGTTTTCTTGTGATTTCTCTCCTACTTTACTAGAAATTTTCTACCCTTTCTTTTTTGAAAGAAGTTGAATTTGATGAGTGAGCTGATTCTGATGATTACATCAATCCACAACTGGTTCCTCATCGAAATCAATTCCTCCAAAAAAAAATGGTCCGTAGCATTATTTGCGTAACATCTGCCTTATTATTCGTTGCAAGTTCAAGTGAAACAGAAAAAAAGATAACAAGAAAACAGGCAGAGAGGCGCGTGTACTTGTGGGTATACCCTCTACATGCCTGAGACGAAGTAGGCGTGGCATCTGAGCATGACACAAAGTGGATTATTCGTGGGGTATTTCGATTCAGGACAAATGTCAGCTTGTTCTGTGTTGGACAGAGACACGACCACAACTGTGTCGAAATGAAAAATCTCTCCAAAAGCACAGCCACCGCCACGTTCAGTTGAAGTACGCAGCCACGCCTACCACATCTAAGGGATTACGAGTGTACGCGCCACCTCCAGTGTGCTAAAAACAGGCCCCGCACTCAAGTAATAGTGTTCGTCCTTCCTTGTGCAAGTAGTCCAGCCCCAAAGCTAAGAGACTGTCCCACTCTCGCGACTCCACAGCGAGCGAGGAGCGAGCTACAGCCGCTGAAAGTTCTAGTTCTAACGCCGCTCAGTTGGACCGCACACTTGCTAGATATCGTCTGACGGAAGACCGCTCAGTTGTTCCTTGTTGGGGCGGCGGGCATTAATCGGAACTGCATGTCCTTTTTGCAGACCACGCTCGCGCACAAGACCTTAATTGTCAAACGTACATTTCACGCCAGCGAAGTCAGTCGTCTCGCGTCGCGGTCATTGCGCGGCGTGCGTTGATCGATTGAATGTGGATTCCTGTCAGATGATATTGACAATTAAGTTCTTCTGTAATAGAAGAACTTAATTGTCAATATCATCTGACAGGAATCAGAACGCACGCCGCGCAATGACCGCGACGCGAGACGACTGACTTCGCTGGCGTGAAATGTACGTTTGACAATTAAGTTCTTCTCTCGCGCTCGCTCCATAGCTACACTCGAGATCCCTGAGATCGGGTAGGCGTGGCCGCATTTTTCAACTTACCCTCAAGGCGTCTACGCTTCTGATGCGATATTTTCATCTCCACACAATCGTTGTCGTGTCTCTGTCCAATACAGAACAAGATGACAGTTGTCCCAGACTGGAATATTCCACTAGTAACCAGTTCCTTACAGTGTTCGAATGCTCCGCCTACCCGATCTCAGGGATTTCGAGTATAGTTCTGCTCTCTTTAATTACATTTTACACATTAGGAGCACATACAATCAACTACAACAGGTAAAACGCATAAAAACCACAAGTGATGAAAGTTTCCGTGGTGCAAAAGCTCGATGTGCACTAATTGTAACAGATGCACGATACTGTAATCCTAAATTCGTGAGCCGAGTTTGGAAAATTTCTTTCTAACGCGAGTTTTCGTTGGTGTTCTGCTGTTTTTTCGTATTCTTTTCTTTGTACTGAATGATATTTACAGTGACACCGTCTTTGGTACGCATACTCTCCTGGCCATCCTCCTTCAACGCCGATGAAAATAGAAGGGAAAGAGTGCGCTAATGACACCGCTCCTCGGCTAGGTTTACCACCAATCTAATTTTCTTCAGATTAAATCAAACCTTTCACGAAGTCATTGACTTCACGCCATTTGGGCTTCACTCTACCGTCCCGTTCAAATTGAGGCCCTGGGCATATTGTAGACCATAGATTTCGCGAACACTCTTCATAAGGTTTTGGTTTTTGAAAAATAGTCCGACACGATCTGGAACATCACCAATGGCAGAATAAGCAGAACTGTACTCTTGGTCCTGATGCTGGGGCGTATAAGGTGGGCTGTGTTTCGCAGGGCGCCAGTGTGTTCTCCACCAGTTGTTGACGAGGGCAAGCGACGGCAACTGGAGGAAACTGAAGTGGCGCTCCGCCAAACCTAGCCTCACGCCCCAACATCCGTAGCGATCAAGACTGTGCCATAGATTCAAAAAACCCACGGTCAAGTAGCAAAGAAGCGGCAACACCTTCCGGTTGGCGGGGCCTTCCTTCAATGAACCTGAAAAAATGAACGGATTCGTACTCCTGCTCCTTTCTTCAACTTTGCTGTACACTTTATCGGCACGTCCCACGTTCATCTGATGAGCAAATGCTTCCTTGAACTAGCACGGTCCATAAACACTGAGGACTTGCCACTGTCGCGGTTCAGAGATACACTATAAGAATGCTAGGCGCTCTAGACAGTGAAGTTGTGCCGCCCCACCACCCTGAGCTATGCAAAACGTATCCATGGTTCCCTCTATATTGCGCCAGAATCGCTACCATCTCTTCCTACTCCCAACTGTGAGAGTGATGTGAAAAGGAATAGCTGCTGATACCATCATGATACCAACCAGTGGCAAACTAGTCTAACTACGCCTTTTTTTTCGCTTGAAGCGCGTATAACCTTGTCTCGGCAAGGAGCCCGACCTGAGCGTTTCTGCTTTTCCCTTCATAAATGAGTTACATGCCACTTTCCTTCTCGTGCTTCAGCCTCACTGCTCACCATTTGAGATCGTGAGACTTGCCTTCAAGTACTGGTTTCGATTGCGGACTCTTATTGATTGCGGTATAATTTGGATATTTTTGAAAATTATAGATTTATTATTATTGTATACTATAAATTATAGATTTTGTGGAGATTTCTGAATTAAGGATGAGAAGAAGTTCCTCACTATAAGCAACACTCCAATGGATCTGAAAAAACTCCCAAGGTAACAGTAAAGCCACAGCAACACTTACTTGATCCCCTTTTCGAGCGCCGGATAATCTCTCCATTCCGTAACCAGCGTTTTCAGGTTTTTTTTGACAGTAGATACAGCCGAAGCCAAACTGAGTGAAGAGATCTCTGAAAGCGATATTGGCAAAAATCATAGCCTTGTTCGCTCGCATACTAGGGCGTTTGGGCGTTTGGGGGACGGGGAGGAGGGGGGATGGGAGCCCGGCCTGTTCTCCACCACTTATGGAAGCTTGCAGACACAGATAGATAGAAGTGGCCAGACAGGCCTTGGCATCAAAAAAGTTAGCTGCCCTTGGAAACGCCCAGTGATGTACCTTACAAGACGATATCTTTACATTTTCCTAGAGCTGCTTTCGGATTTGAGAGTTCAGTTATAGCGACATCTGGAATGATGAGAAAGGCGAACATACCTATGTGCCGCATCCTGGTTGGTGAGCAATTCATAAAACTGCTTCCAAGATCGATCGAGATTAGCCCAATCGCGATTCTTCTGGAAAACGTTTCCTTTGAATTTCATGGCATCCCTTCTTGTCAAATCACTCTCAAAAGATGAATCCAGCTAAGCTGCTCATCCTGAGATCAAGCAATATAGCCACTCTTCTCCTTTCGATGCGAGACCTTTTGATTCATACATTTCTCAGAAGTAATTACTGGAGCGGTTCACGTGAATGAGAAAAAAGTCTATTCAGAAAAGTGGAGGGGGGGGGGCGAGGCGCATACTGTCAAAGCGCTTCAGGATCCCAGTCCGACACTTTCTGAACAGGGCACATCATCGCTGGGGATTCCGCGAAAAAGAAGTCGTCTTTGGTCGCTCTGGGGGAAGGGGGAGAGCCGTAATCAGTCCGGAGAATTTTTTTTCAAAAGTTAGTTCTTCTTGCGTCACGAGCGCTATGGAGGGGGGCGGGGTCGTATTTGCTTATTGCTGGGAGAGCGGGGTGGTATTTGCCTTCTGACCAGGGAAGATCAAACAGGTCGCCATGGCCATTCAAAATGGGATGCATACCGCCGCGTGAATTTGCTGTGGAATTACTGAGGGGGTGGAGAAGGGGTTCTAGCATGGCACTCGCCGATCCTCCTTTGCGTAGCTCAAGTTAAGTTTGAGAACCTGAAGTTCCAAGCAGCCGATGGTGTAGAGGATGAGTAAGTTGCTCTATAGATGCTCGGTCATGGGTTCGATTCCTTGACAGGTCTGCATTTTTTCGGAACATCTTCTGTGAGTCCAAAAGGTATTTATATCTTGTCATTTTGTTAAGCTTGCTCTCATTCGCAGGAAAAGAGTCATGTCGGCCAATGTGCTTCTCTTCCAAGACTAGTAGGCATTATTCACCCTTTACTGCCCCAATCACCCGAAATCAGGCCAAATTCTGAACAACTCTTTTCTCCGTGGGCAGAATTGACTAAACAGTTGTCCCCGGGGTAGTTTGACCTCCTGAGCACGAATGTCCCATCGGCTTAGCCCGCCTACCGCCGGCGACGAAATTTTCGTGATCACCAAAATCGCTAAACTTGTCAACTGGGTAGTTTGGCCTCCTAAACACGAACATCACATCTGTATGGGGCAGTGAGGATCTTTAGGATAGAGTAAAAAAGGTACACATGACTACGCCATCTGCTTCAGCG